AGAAATGATACGACTATTTGGGAGTGAACCAGTAGATATCGCATCAATGAGAGCCTGGAAATTAGAGCCAAAACCAGAGGCCATGACTAGAATTCGGCATGGTGATTGGTCCGCGTTTGACATCTTGAAGGGCAGATACTGAAGTGAACTGAAGATTGTAGTATGCTCCAGTCACCCTCCGAATAATATTCTCCAGCTTCCGTTCAAAACTTTCACCCCTCCAAAGGGTATCACGTGATGCCGATAGCGGCAGACCACACATTGTCGAGAAAATGGCCCAAGACACGCTTAAACAAGATATAATGAAATAATTAGGCTATTTTGAGTATTTTCAGTGCTCATACTCTAGTGTCCCACTTGGTTTTGTTTTAGGGCCGGCTCCTTGTCCATGCTATGGCCTTTGTTCGGACCATTGCAGAGTTGCGACCTGAGGACTTATATTGAAAGCCTCGTTACCTTTGGCTTACATTGATCTTTTCTTGATTCGAAAAGCCACATTCACGAGACTTGTCGCCAAGAAAAGAAATCTCATCGAGCTGAATGTCCCCTTTTGATCATACGTGCTTCAGCCCGAAACTACTGTTAATACGTGCCGAAACTGCAACTCACTCGATATCGAGCCATACGTACCTAGGGTAGTTGACGACGAAATACCGAACTAGGTACGTTATGCCCTATTCAACCTAGCGCACAGTAAGCGACAAGGCTTACAGCGATGAGGCCCACTAGCTAGACCCAGGGAACGCGCTGAGACTATTGCGACAGCTACCTTAGTTAACCAGAACTCCAGCCAACATTGCCCGAATTCAGTCTTTCTTTCAACGGTCTCTATCTCCATGGATACTGGGCATACTTCGCGTACGACAACAGAGATGCGCTGAATCAACAAATCGAAAATAGAAACCGAAAATGTCCTCCGGAAAGGGCGTATCCGAATTCCCAAGCTTGGAAGCCAAGCTGCAAAAACCGACCAAGCAGTCCGCTTTCGAGAAACAAAAAGCAGAAGCTGAAGCCAAGCGACTACGAGAAGAAGCAGAAACCGCTGCGGTATATAATGAATTCGTCAAAAGTTTCGACCGCGATGATGACTACGATGGACACAACGCACCCAGCTCTTCAGCACCTCCACGCCCGCGACATGGATTTGGGGGCCCGCCACCACCCTCAGGACCAGGGAGACGGCATTTTGGAACATCGGGACTGAAGAGCGGACCAGGAAGCTTGGGACCTCCGCCATCCTCGTTCGCGAAAAAGCGGTCTTTCCAGGACTTTGCACGGCCGTCGCGGGATAAGGGAGTCCTGGGCTATGATGAGGGAGCCAGTGGAGGAGGGCCGATCCCAGCAGCGAGAGCTTTCAATACAAGCGATGATGAGGATATGGACGGCGTGACGGATAGGGCAGAAGTGAAGGCTATAGCGAAACCTACACTTCGACTGTCGAATATTCCTCCAGGAACTTCCCCTGCCACGATCAAGGCCCTGATCCCGGGCAATTTGACAGTCGAGAATGTCAAAATCACACCTTCGAGCAGCTCTGCCAACTCGGAAAGAAAGCATGCCGTTTCGATTGTCACATTATCCCAAGAAACACCCGCTAACGAGATCGACGCAGCCGTCAATGCGCTACAGAACCGATACCTTGGTTATGGATATTACCTGTCTCTCCATCGCCATCTTTCATCAGCCGTTGTGAGTTCGGCTGCATTACCGAATATTGGTTCTTCAGCGACATCACATCCCTTTGGTGCGAAGCCTGTTGAACAACCACCAGGACCACAAAACCCGCACGCGCAGCATGGATTCAATAGCAGATTTGCGCCCCCAACGTCTTATGGACCTCCTGGCGCAGGCATTAATCGGTCGGCCCTGTTACATGTGCCGGTCAAACCACCCACTGATGTAAAGATTATCCAACTGATTAGCAAGGTTATCGAGGGAGCTCTTGCGCATGGCCCAGAATTTGAGGCGCTGCTCATGTCACGACCCGAGGTGCAAAGAGAAGAAAAATGGGCATGGATATGGGATGCAAGAAGTCAAGGCGGCATATGGTACCGATGGAGACTATGGGAGGTCATTACGGGTTCACAGCAATCACGACAAAACGGGAAATACGTCCCCCTATTCGATGGTTCGCATGCATGGAGGGCCCCAGAGAAGAACCTCAAGTTTGAGTATACGACCAAGCTGGACGAATTCGTGTCGGACTCAGAGTACAACTCATCGGATGAGGAGGACTTTGAGGATGACAACAAGAGGGAAATCCCAGGTGCGGAATCCGAAAAGGCGTTCCTCAACCCGCTGGAGAAAGCCAAGCTAACACATCTCCTTGCGCGACTACCAACTTCGATGTCGAGGCTAAGAAAGGGCGATGTCGCTAGAGTGACGAGCTTCGCAATTACCCATGCTAGTCGAGGAGTTGACGAGGTCGTGGCGATGATCACATTCAATGTCGAGAAGCCATTTGCTCTTACTGGCGCAAACCCTGACAAGAAGTCTGAGAGCAAAGAATTCCAACCAAGCGCACCCGAGGAGGCGCCAAGTAACGAAGGCCCCGACATCAGTGGTGCTAGTCTGGTGGGATTATATGTCGTTAGTGACATACTGTCGTCTTCGTCGACAAGCGGCGTGCGGCACGCCTGGCGTTTTCGGCAGCTATTCGAGACATCACTGAAAGACCGCAAGACGTTCGAGACACTGGGCCTCATGGCGGAGCGACTCAAGTGGGGACGTCTACGTGCAGAGAAGTGGAAGCGCAGCATTCACCTTGTTCTGAATCTCTGGGAGGGATGGTGCGTCTTCCCTGTTGAGAGCCAGGAACTATTTGTTAAGAGTTTCGAGAATCCACCGTCGCTGGTTGCCGCTGAGAAGGAGGATAGCGAAGAGAAGAAGGGCAAATGGAAGACGGTGGAGGATGGACAATTACGTGCACTACCCGTTTCGACCGTCGAGGAGGAAGAAGAGGATGACGTTCGGGGCGAGGCGATTGATGACGATGATGTTATTGGAGAGCCGATCGAAGAGGACGATATTGAGGGAGAACCTATTGACGAGGATGACATCGAGGGAGAGCCTATTGATGAGGACGATGTGACTGGAGAACCAATGGATGAAGATGAGGCTGTAGGGGATGAGTTGCCACCAGCGGCTACAGATCAACCTACAATGGGCACTGAGAACAAGACCAAAGAGGAACCGTTTCAAGCCGGACAGCCTCGAAGACGGATGCGAGCAGTGGATATGTTTGCAGATTCAGACGATTCGGACAAGAGCGGATAGAGATAGGCGAAGTTCAATGATACCAATTTGTAATGGGATTAGACGTACCGTTCCGTCTGCGAGATGGCGCCATTCAACGGCGTGAGACCTGGGCGGGCCAAAGAGTAGGATGTGATCTCTAGGCTGTGTGCGACCGCTGGGCATTTGAAGATCAGTTGAGTACGATTCAACCTCAAGGCCAGAATGCCAAGGATGTGTAGAGCATGACATGAAACCAGACGCTAGACGAGGATCCCACGGGAGATGAGCCTAGAACAGAGGCACAATGTAACATGGATGTGGAAAAGCACATGCTGATAATGGCAGCATTGTCGTTGGCAGATGAGTTTGTGATGAGCTATGCTACCAAGGAGGGACTGTCGACTTTGTCAAGGCCCAACAAACCATGTTACGTCACAGATATTGATATGGCGGAAAGCAATTCATACGTATGAGGCAAAAATAGTCGACAAGAGAAAGCTGAGCGCTTGAGCTTTATAGTGGTGTTGGTATTGGTGTTGAAGGTGGCCGGCCGGGGCCTTTGAGCCAATGGAAACTTGCTCACTCGGCCGGGTTGGCTGATGGATACGGACACAAGATAGTGGAGAGGGAAGAGAAAAGCGACATGAACGATTGAAATGCGGTAAAGTCGGAGTTTTCACTGTTATTGGGAGGCAATGGACCTTATATTTATATACAAACATGTTTCGTTTTGATTAGAGTCGTTGAATTGCCCAATGTGCTCTTCCGGACGTTGCACGGGAGAGAATCGCCGGGTCTCCGGCTATACAGTGCTCCGTATCGGCGGCGGCTGAATTGGAGGAACGGGCCTGAGCCGGGGGGGAGGGAACATGCTGGGCTTGGCTTGTAGGGAATACTGTACGGATAACAACAACGTCATGGAGCACTCTAGAGATCCTGATAATACACTCTACTGCGTTCGTTTTCATATTGAGATGTCCTCGGAACAATTTTTATCTTATCACGGAACCATCTTAGACATGGCATGACTTTCAACGTGTACTATTCCGAGCCGATCTTAGCTGAGCGGGCACCGAAGACCAATATTGATGCGTGCCAGAGCCGAGAGCCCAAGTCTGTCGTTAGCGTGACAGTGATCTTGCCAACCAAGTGCCTTGCTGGGATTAGACACCCTTTGGGCTCTTTAGGGCGTTTCTTGCCCGCTGCAGCCCCCGCATGGTGGGGGGCGCGACGAATATTTGCAGGCAGGTCGTCCGCTGGCTGCTGACAAGGTTGGGTCAGGTCCCTGAATGAATAATGAACCATCTCTCGTCTTGGGTCTAGATCAAGATCCTTCGTTTTGCTTTGTTACATCTTCTTCTTGCACGACAACAACGGCAACGGCAACGATACATGTCATCATTCTTACAACAATTTGGCATTCTATAGCATTCACTTACACTGGCCATAAGCCCCCGTTTTCATCGAGTCCTACCTAACTCAGCACGACACTTTGATATAGTACACAGCCGCCGCGAACTTTGGAAACCCCGTCGGTTTCTGTATCCCGTCGTTTGCGACGCAAATTCCGAGTCCTCGAGTGTCGCCGAGTAAACCACGTCGCGTCTTCCACACACACACTCTCTCATGTCGACTCTTGCGAGACTTGCGCATTTGTAGGCAATTGTTACGGCTGTGAGCCGGCCACCATCTCTCCCACTACCTATCCGTCTTGCTCCACCTCTGTCATCCGTCGCACATACGTTCCCGACGACAGTCTCACCATGCCTCTCATCAATGGAATAAAAATGGCCTGGTACGATTAATCCTGGCACATTTCAACTGCTGTCGGTCTGTTGGTTAGACTTTGCTGACTCTGGACTTGTAGCGAGCCTTGTATTCGTGGTCATCGCTCTACTAAATGTACACACGCAAACGAGCGACTAATGGTACCTGTTAGGAAGCCAGGTAGGCCTCTTAGTACATGCCCTCATCCGGCTTCTCGTCCATGTTCTTGCGGCAGAGTCACGGCTGCGATACCAAAGAAGCAAGCATGCCATTGTGGTCCCAGCAAAGATACCGAATCACCAAAGCCTGAGAACGGTGATAGCACAAGCAGCTCCACGCCCCAGAGCCCTGCTAGCAAAACACCAGGTGCTGGATATCGAGTACAGAAAACGAGTTCGAAGGGCGGAAGTTCTAGCAGAAGAGAATCTGTTGACCCATCGGCCTTTCAGCGTATGGATCCCAAGATGCTCAATATTTTGCCCTCGTTCGAGGACATATCCCAGAAGCCGGTCGCGCCTCTTCCTGACATGTCTACTTATGGGAGTATGGGTATGACACCAGCAGACAGCCCTTTTGGACCCGTCATGTATCCAATGTTCCAACCACAAATACCACCCCCTATGATGAGCACAGGCACATCAAAGGAGACCATAGCTGGCCAGTCCGGTTCAATAACGAGCACGCAAGTTCTAGAACAACCAATTCAGTCTACACCAAAAGCCGGATCTTGCTGCGGAGGACGCAATTCTAATAACATTGCTTCCGTTCCAATTACGATGCCCTCAGTACCGAGTCCACCGAAAGTCAAAGCGAAGGGTTGTTGCTCTTCCAGTAACGACTCCCCCAAACTCAACCAGAAGAACGATAATGTCCCGGCCAACGACATAGCGACGTCCAACAGCATGATGATGTCGCCTTTTCCAACACCCATCATGATGCCCAATGGCATGTACGCCTACTACCCTCAGCCGACTGTGTTCACGTACCCACCTCAGTATGGTTCATACTTGCAGCCTCTTCAGCCGGAGCAATGGAGACAAGTAATGGCCGCGATGACTTTTGCTGGTCAAGGGGGCATGCCTTCACCCTTCGGAATGCCTGGTGCAACACCGTTTCCCGCCCCTACTGCCCCTCAAACTCCCCATTCGGCGACGGGCACTTCTCACCAGTGTAGCTGTGGTGCCTCGTGCGAGTGTGTAGGTTGCGCGGCCCATCCGTATAATGAAGCGACGCAGAACTATGTTCGATCGGCCTGGCAGAGCATGATGGATACCGGTTACACCCATGTGAACGGGCACGGAAATGGTGAAACGCCTACAACAAATGGCCACAGCGTTACCGCAAGCAAGGCTTCTGTACCTCCTCCTATCGGCTCTACTGACGGGACTGTATCGCCAGTCGCCCCACAAACCCCCTCTGAAGCGGCGTCAGGCATTAGCGAAGAGCAAGCACTGTCGGCGAATGATTTCTTCTTTGTTAGTTACCCATTCGGAGACTCTTGTGCTGGTGAGGAGGCAAGCTGTCCGTGCGGAGATGATTGTCAGTGTTTAGGCTGCGTAATTCATGGCAACTCTGAGTCAGCAGTGGAAGCAGAAGGCCAGGTCTAGAAAACACCTCTGATAGTATGAGAGCTTCTTTGATGAAACTTTCAAACTCGCCCATCAAGCGATTCTACGGATGCAAAGAAATCATCACGTAAGGGGGGAAGACGAGGGCAGCGATTTGCTAGTTTGCGGCGATTATACCCATTCAAGTTTTGGAATAGTGAAGAAGGCCACTGGGAGGTTGAAAATAATAGAGAAGCTTCGGCATAGTATGCATATAAATACGATTTACTCCCCTTCACGCTATGGCACATGCTTCTGAGTTGACATTAATCTCATCGTGATGCAATCAATGGAAGGCATTGTTTTAGGTTCTGTAAGCTACTAACTAACGTTAACCTAGGTAGTGTTATTAAAGAAAAGCGGATCGCACTGTGCTCATCCCTTGACCTCAAAATCTCATCTTAAAACACTTTGAACCAGATTCATCTCATCGATGTTCTAATTTTATCACCACAACTTTTGATTGCTTACATTATCGGACTTGCAATACTCAGACATAGTCTCAAAGCGTCGAAATGGACCGCAGTAACCGGGTTAGAGAGAGGTCGCCGCACCGTGACTACAATTATAGGAGAAGCCAGGACCGCGACAACACTTCATATAAAAATACGCGCTCACGATCACGATCACCTGATAACAAACGATCTAAAACATCATCTTATCGACACGATAGACATCACTCTGAGCCTAGTGGCCGTCTCTCGTCTCCCAAACATCATCATCGCCATCATTCATCACACAAATCCCGGGATCATGCAAGTCGCAAGCCTGAAGCTGTGGTTAACCTACCCTTCGAGGCGCGGCCCTTATCAAAAGCCGATCTGCCTTCGTTCAAGCCACTATTTGGTGAATATCTAAGTCTTCAGAAGCAGAAGAATATCACAGAAATGGACGATCATGAAGTCAGAGGGCGATGGAAGAGCTTCATTGGGAAGTGGAACCGAAAGGAGTTGGCAGAAGGATGGTACGACCCTGAGACATTTGCACGAATTGCATCGAATAACCCAGTTGCGCCTCAAGTAAGACGTGCTTCTGTGCATCGGGATGAAGCGCGAGAGCCCATGAACAACAGAGAAGATCGTGAGAGCGAGGATGATGAAGATGATTATGGCCCTCCACTTCCTGGTTCGGATCATACACGGCGGTCTGGACCAGGCATCCCCACACTTCAGGATCTATCATTACGAGCTGAGCTTGCCGAGGAAGACAAGCAAGCGTCTATTGCGGACCTGCGTGAAGCGCGCAAAGCTGATCGGGTTCTGCAGAAAGAGCGTCTCGAAGATTTGGTCCCTCGTGCTGAGGCCGGGACTCGTGAGCGCATGTTGGAGAAGCGAGCAGCAGTGGCGGACAAGATGCGCTCGTTCCGCGACAAGAGCCCTGATGCTATGGAAGTCAAAGACGAGAGAGAACTCATGGGCGACGGAGACTCATTGGATGAGTACAAGAAAGCCAAGGAAAGTGAGCAACGCCGCAAGACGGAGAGGGAAATCCGCAGAGAGGAGATCGAAAGGGCCAAAAGGGAAGAGGTGGAAGAGAAGAAGAGAGCATGGAGGGAAAGGGAAGAAGGGACCGTGAGCATGTTGAGGGAATTGGCACGTCAGCGATTCGGATAGAGGACATGATCACCTATATCCGAATACCTCTCTCTCATTCAAGTCTCGAAGCTATGATGATGACGATGGTGGAAGAACAACTTGGCTATCTATTCTTTTCGGTGGATTTATATGGTAGGTAGATTTACTGAGGGATGTATATTTTGACGCACTGTGGGAGCGCACCAATTGGAAGTTTGGCCCACCCGAATCAAAACTCTTCTTCACGACTTTCAACAACCAGAAGAAGCAAAACTTGGACTCTGATGCTCGGATCTCAGTACAAACTTATCACCGAAACCAGACGCGAGAGCGAGAGCGAGCTAAGAGAACAGTTCCTACTTAGACCACGAAGGATTTAAGCTGCAGCCATAAAATTACACAGAAGTCCTCCAACGGAATCTTACTCCCACACACATTTCAGACTGACTATTGCTCACCCTTGGACCGCACTCTTCACTCGACACAATGTCTGGCGAGGTAGACTATGGATTTGGCGACCTCATGGATGACCCAGAGGATTACTGCCCACCTACGCCCCCTCCTACATCTCAGGTCTTCACTATGCAAAGCGGCAAGCCCATAACACTTCACCTTGTTGGCGCCAGCCCTACTGAAGCTCACCATCTCTGGAACGGCGCCAAGATGATCTCCGACTTCTTCGAGGAGGATCCTTCTCGAGTACGTGAGAAGACGGTTCTGGAGCTTGGTGCCGCTGCTGGTCTGCCCAGTCTTGTCGCTGCTATTCTTGGTGCGCGCAAGGTCGTGGTGACGGATTACCCAGACCCGGATATCGTCAGAATCATGCAGAAGAACATTGATGAATGTGACGAAACGGTTGAGCCTCGTGGCCGAATCGCCAAGACTGTCGACGCTGTGGGCTTTGTCTGGGGCGCTGACCCTATCCCACTGCTTACTCGCCTGAACCCAACTGATGACTCTCACGAGGAGCGGTTCGATGTTCTCATCCTGGCAGATCTTCTATTCCGACACAGCGAGCATGGAAACATGGTCAAGTCCATCAAGGAGACCCTCAAGGTGTCCTGTGAGAGCGTGGCCTATGTGTTCTTCACATCATACCGACCGTGGAAGAAGGAGCTTGATGAGGGATTCTTTGACATTGCGCGCGATGAGGGCTTCGAGGTGGAACAGATTGCTGAACGGAGACTCGACAAGCCACTGTTTGAGAACGACCCTGGTGACTTGGATGTGCAGAAGACTGTCAAGGGATATGCTGTGAGATGGTCTGCCGACAAGTGCAGTTGATCATTACAAGGGCAACGGATAGATAGACGAAACTGACTGGCAATTGGTTAACGAATGACGATTATGACACCAAAGGTTGATACTGTGGATTCTCTTACATATGCACTTGCACTTGTACTGGCACATGCGTAAGAGTACAGTAATGAATATCTGACTACAGAGACTCTTACTCTTACTACTCACGATGCAGTACTCCAATTGCTACGTTACTTGACCTTATGAGGCTCCATCGTAGTAGATGCAACGAGCCGTCGGTAGGTGAGTACGTTCCCCACATCGATTCTTAAAAAGGCTCATCATAGCACAAGAAGAAGCACTTTTGGGGCATACAAAAGGAACTGAGACTCTTTCTGTAAATATCCGCGCCAAGTCTCGCTTCGTTTCGACCTCTATAGCAATCCTTGCCTGTGTTACAGAGCCTTTTGGCCGATGACCTGTCAGCTGCTTGTATCTCCAAGTACCACCTAATTTATAGCTCGCGAGGGGTAGTCAGTCAACTGTAACGGGATTTTTGTCTTATTTTACCGGCGGTCCACAAGCCGCAGAACACCAGACGTCGTTTCCGCGCCGCGCTGCAAGCCGCAATTCGTTCGACGGACCAAAACCCGCATTTTCATATCACATCATGTCCACTTCGCAGTATCTCCAAGATCTCAACAGGGATGGGTTTGTGGTCATAAAGTCAATCGTGAGCAAGGATAAGCTCGATGCTCTCCGTGAGGTCAGCTCAAAGGCCACTCAGCTTGCTCGTCAAGGGCAGTGGCCTTACGGTACAGCCCCTTGACTGTTGCTCTAAATAGACATTTTCCTAATAGTTTGCAGTACGGACTGTAGGAAAACAATTCCCACCATGGGATGCCAGTCAGGCACGTGAGCACGGAATATGGGGTGTCCAACATCTCATGAACCCTGATCTCCCTGGTCATGAGCTATTCACAGAACTGTACTTCTCTGAAGCCATTCTCGGCATTGTGAAGCAGCTGCTGCAATGCCAAGACGAACATCTCGTGATGGAGCTGTTCAACATGCTTGTCAGGCCAGAAAGGGATTTTGAGTTGAGGTGGCATCGTGATGATATCCCCGCTGAGGCTAGCGAGGACGAGGAGATGGAGCGTCTTGGCAAGCATGCCTACCATGCTCAGTATAACTTCGCTCTATGGGATGATGATTCTCTCATTGTTGTGCCTGGCTCGCACAAGCGCGCTAGGACCTCGACTGAGCGAAGCGCAGATCCCTTTGCCAAGTCCCTGCCAGACCAGCTCATCGTCAAGCTGCAGCCCGGCGATATTGTCTTTTATAACAATAATATTCTGCATCGCGGGGAATACGCTAGCAGCAAGGAGCGAATGACACTACACGGCTCTGTTGGCTATGTGCAGGGCAGCTCTCTTCGAGCGAGGAACGTTCTACAGCATGGAATTGGTACCTGGGTTGACAAATGTGCTTTCGAGTCGCTCCCAGAGGAAGATAGGCGCAGGGCCGACGGTATGAGACATCGTCTGCTCCAGCTTGGCAGTGAGAGCGGTCAAGTTGGCTACTCGCTCCAAGGCTGACCCCGAGAGGCTGAGAAAAGCGAGACCGGCGCCAACACTTTTTGATGTCGTTACTTGGATATGTCAATGCACAAGAAGTACGGTACATTCTGTAACAAATTAAAGAAACCAAAAGCAGCAGGTTGACATTGTACATGCATGACCTGGCGAACTATAATTCTCCATCTGATGCTGAGACTCTGCTGACAAAGGGACGCAAGAAACAAAAAACTCAACGTCTTGATTCTCGGAAAAGTTTAGCATAGTTTTGTATGAACTGAGAAGGCTCCTCAGCTAGTGCCATCACCCAGCAGGCACGAGCTTGAACAACGCCCTGATCAGACACAATTCAAAACATTGCCAGTGGTATCACTATCAACAAATATTGATGGTTTCTCACCTCCTTTTCAATGTTACCGGTATTGCACTTCGGCATTGCGATACAACAGCAAAGGAAGCACATCTGAATAACCCTGCCCTGACACGACCGAGGTTAGTTATCACGATATTATCCGGCACAAAGACCGACTTCCCGATAATATCTAAGTTGCGGCTTTCACACCTAGGCTGTTTCTCAACCCCGCATTTGCACCCGAATCGAAGTGGCTGCCACCTCGTGCAAATTGTTTGGGGACCCCGGATTTTGAAAGCTCGGTCAGATCAAGGAGCTCAAAGTGTTGGGCCGACTCGAGTTGATGAGTGGTCCTGGAATGATGTAACTATCATTGTATTCGACGAGTCAGGTACACATATGTCTAAATAGGCTTGGATCTATTCAATAAGTGCCAAGTTAGTATACTGCACCGTAGCCTTATCATCAAACCTTCTTTTCCTGGACTCGGTAACATCCCGGCGGAATGAAAAGGATGGGCTCGGCTCAGACGCGGTGTGTAACGAAGGCAACCCCACGGGGAAATTGTCTATAACGCGGGGGTATAGGCTAGCCAAAGGACAATTCGAGTGTCAGCATCAATCATCTACTCTAGCGGTCTGCACCTACAGGGGGGCAGAGTGCAGACTGACTGACTGACTGAATGCTTGCATGATTGGGGGCACAGGGTGCCCAGGTTATATGGCAGCGTGAGGCCGGTGTCTCCACGAGCTCAAGTTCCGGTGCAGAGACGCCCGGCTGCCCATGCTGACCCCATGAACGACTGACTCCAGTTGAGCTTGATGAGTACTAAGGTAGATGAGGATGGTCATGTCTTCCGAGCCTGGGCCTGGGTGCAAGATCCAAAGTCTAGACTACCCCACACGCACCGACCATCAATCCCCGCACCTCCACAGATCCCAGCATTCGCTTGTCTGATCTCAAAACCTCCACTACCTACCTATCTATTAGTTACTATTAGCAAATACCAAAACCACCTACCGAACCTATACTGTGTATCCGAACTTGGCAAATGTCCCCGGGAGAATTTCTAAAAGGGACAATTAAAGCGCATCCGAGGGGAAGCGAGATCGGTTCCGCTCTCGAGCTCGGCGTTTCTATTGTCTCTAGGCATGCGAGACATGAGCTATTCGAGCTGGTGCTGGCGGACAGGCAGCGCGAGGCTGGTTGACGTTCAACAACCAATGGGGACACGACATGATATTCTTGCCTCAACAAAGTGTGAGAAAAGACACTCAACACGTCGGGTTTAGCAAGGACCCCGGACCTTGACTGTAGGCTGATCACCACATTCTTGGGGGTGTTGTAGACAGCATCATTGCAGCTACGTAAAGGCAGGTCTAGGACGGAAGCGGAGCCGACGGGTGAAGAGAGTTTGGGAAGAGTTGGGAATTTCCTTCTCGCTTGCAATGCAGTTGGATTGTGTTGGTCATTGCGCAATAGGGCGGACAACTTCCTTGGATGCCGGATCTCCAACCGTGTGTCTTGTAGATCTACAAAAGCCCGCACATCAAGATCGGATTTCTGGCGATGGGTTCTGTTACTGTTGGAAATCCTGGTTCTATATTTTTACTGCCACAGGATGCGACCTTTTGTCAGTGAAACAGCAGGACTTTGTTGATGGTATCAATAATTCGATCGTCCCGGTAAAACAGTGTGTTTAGTGAGGGCTGGTCTGGTGTTGCTCAAGTTCCTTTGCTCCGCATCAGCCCTGTCTCCGCTTCCCACCCTGAACTCAGAAGTGATTTTCTTTCCGTAACGTTTTCTCGTAGCGCCTTTCATCTCCAAAGTAACGGCGCGAAAGGCGGTAGTGAGGAGGAAAGCGAGAGTCG